CCCGCCACACCGACGGCCGAAAAGGAAACTCTGTTCCTTGAAGTCCCTTTTCAATGGAACGCTGCCAGTGAACTCCTAAGGAGACGCCTTGATCAAGCTGTTTCGCGAACTGTCCCAACGGCAAGGGTTCAAGTATCCTTTTCTACTAACCCTATTTTGTGCGCAGAAGGTAAGGATAAGTTGCCACCCCAAACCACTTCAATGTGCTTCTACTCCTTCACTTGCTCCTGTGGAGCAGGTTATATTGGTCGCACGGGTCGGCGCTTATCCAAGAGAATACGGGAACACCTCCCGGCATCGCTGGGAAAAGGCGAAACTAGGAGCATAATCAGTGCTATTCTCGCGCGCGTTGTCGATTCAGGACATCACGTAGACCCCAATGAAGCGTTTTGTGTGATCAATAAGGTCCCATCGAGCTATTATAAACCACTGGGACAGGGCCTGTTAGCAACAGCAGAGGTGGCCGCCATCAGGTTGCGAAAGCTAATTTTGTGCGCACAGAAGAACCACGTTCGGGCACCGCACATACAGTGGTCGAAGGTCGACTAACCCTGCACTCTCCGCGCCCTTCCGCTCTCACCCCGTCCCTGACACTGACTGCTATTACCCCCCTCCCCTCCCCCACATTACCACACTCAGCCTGTGTTTTAAAGCGAACTTTAATCGATTTATCTTTGCACTGACGTGTTTTTACTTCTACCTTTTCCCATATAATTGTATTTTCCCGATGAAAATTTATCCAAAGCTAAGTATGCTCGCCACCTCGTCTTCTGATTACAGAATAATACCCTTTCTTCGAGTATAAAATCGGAAGAAGACGTAATTTTCTACCTAATAGGTAGAATACTGAATAATTTTATTCATGCTTTCCATGAAAAGGAATTGCATTTGTAAGGGCATCGAAAATCAAAGAGAAAAGTTCATGCTACCTCAGTAAAAAATTTTACAGAGTGCGGCTTTTTCAGGCAACGGAAAAGACGTTTTTCGAAGGCTGGAATCCCGAGGCAACTGAATTTTTATGCAATTATGCTGCAGATGATTAATTTTACAACGCTACTTAAGTAAATTTTCGAAACGAAAACGCATTTCAGAATTTAGACTAACATTTCATGATTCGGCTCATCTACTGTATTTCGATTCACAGATTTTTATTTCATGACGCACTAAAAAAATATTTCGCCGCATTCCGTGTCCATCAGTAGTATACAAAAGCTATCGAAAACTGTCCTATTCGCAAACCTATGTTAGAATGTTCTTTAATATTTTCTGCAAGTTTTTGCCTATTAATTGAACAAAGAAACCTCTCGAGTGCCCCAAAATCTGCCTGTCTTAAATAAGATATCTGTTTTATAGCCCATTGCAACGATTTGTTCATAGGGGCGATTGTCCGTCTGGAACCAAATTTTCGAATGCAGAGACGATAACAACGTGGGAATTTCGCGCAACCAAGCAGACTGAAATGCAATAGTCAAATACTTGTTTTGTTAAATCTATACGTGTTTGATCAGATGGGAAACAGGATGTGCTAACGGGATCTGAGCATTGATTATTGTCCGCCAGCATATGTTGCAAAATGACTGCAGTAGGAATTTTTTGCGTAAGACGTGAAGAGTCCTCAATTAGGACACACAGTTTACTAACAGCACGAACAGATCTTAGTTGGGTTTGTTTTACTTGGATCTGTTATACCAGTTTAGTTATTTGTAAGCGGATTTTACACTGAATTTCAGGACGTACATATTCCCGCATCCGAAATCCGCCCGTAGCACCAACCCTAACCTTGATCTTAAACCTAGGCGCCTGTAACGCATGGGGATATAGAAGACGAAGATGCGATCACTGGAACAAAAGGTTTATTGGTCTGACGTTTCGGATCCTCCCCTGGACCCATCGTCAGAGACATTTGCATATAGGGGACCTATTCCCATACCCGGCAATTTCATAAATTAATACAAGAACTTGGAGTAACCTCTCTGAAACAAACCTTCTCAGATTCGGTCTGAGATTTCATAGGAAGATTTGAGGTACGACGGTGGTAAATATAACGGTGTTTATGTACTACTGAATACGCGGAAGTACAATGCGAATAATATACGGTTATTCCGCTTAGGTTGACTGACCTCATCCCCAGCATACCTATCTACTCTCGAACAGAATCTGCAAGGTCTTGTACCGAAGAAATTACTCCGTGTTCGCACATTAATTTCCGGAAAAAATTTTATATTCCACAAAGAACACGCATCACCCTTTCATCTGAGGCAGTTACGACTGCCTCCACAGTTTCAGACACCAACGAATTATTTCTTCCAGGAAAAATACAACTCTCCGTAGTTTTCGGAGTTTGCGATCGCTTCAAAATACATATACGGAAGAGACGAATGTGAGCAAATTACCCCTACTGCATGAACTTTCATGGAAGATTTACAGCGTTTATGGTTCGCCAGGGGTGCGAAGACTAGTTGTCTGGAAGGTCTTTGAATTTTGACTCTCCGCATACAATTATTTGCGTGTCAGAAAATATCAGTTTTATGAAAGCAATCTTTCAGCCCAACCATTGTCTCTGAACCTCTCCCCCCCCTTCAAACTCCCATGATCAACAGATCCCCCCTGTTCCCCGCTCTACTTGCAGGACAGTCTTTTATCCCCGTAGACAAACTACTATTCATTGTTAAGAGATCAGATGCCGGAGGGGGAGAGAGACAGGCAGATAGAGGGATTATTTTTGTTCTAAAACCTCCAGGCCAGCGACACGTTGCCAAAGTGTCACCTCCGATGCCGTGTCAGAAATGAAAGCATTTGCTGAACACGCTGCCAAACAGTATCTCCAGTCACGATGCAAATTTTAGAAGGTATGGACGGAGAGAATAATAAATCTTAGAAGGATAGTTGTATGCTATGCCATACAGTGAGTCCCTGTATGCTATTTCGTTAGCATTTGAGTCGGTAGCGACGACAATGACTACTCAGAAGTTTTGGTACGGTTCACAGATGGCATAAGTCATCCAGCAGTTAAAGCTCGGCATACTGAGAAATACAGTCGGTGGTCTAACTCATGAAATGTCCACCCAAATTCTGAAATGAGTTTTCGGCTCGAAGAGATCAACTAAGTAGAGTTGGAGAACCAATCATCCAGCAGCATAATTCTATAATAATTTAGTTACCCAGGATGCCGGCTTTCGAACGAACGTCTCTCCGGCAGAATGCATAAGTTATACTCTGTAAAAAATGACTACGTAAATAGCATACATTTTTCTCATTGATTTTCGATTCCCTTAAAGATTCAATTATATATCATGGAAAACATGCATAACAAGATTCATTCTTTTACTCATTTGGTAGACAATTACGTCTTATTCCAATTGTATACTCAATAGAAGAGTATCATTCAGTTTCAAAAAAAGTTTCCAATTGTGAGATTTTCTAATACCGCGAAATGACCGTTCATAAAATGTCATGTCTCTACGTTCACCAACGTGGCTCGTAAGGTCAAAAACAAGTCTCAAATTTACTCCTGAATTTTATGAACCCCATATGGTCTCCTCTTAATACCTTAGAGAGACGTATGGCTTTCCGTACGTTAAAAATACATGTTTTGTAGTTTGGAAACCCTGAATTCGAGTGTAACGGCAGGTCGGGTTCAAAACTATTCGGGAATTGGAAAATTTTTCGAAAACCGAATTATATCCTTCTTTTGAGTACAAAATTGGAAAAAGACGTTATTTTCTACCAAATGAGTAAAAGAATGAATCTTGTTATGCATGTTTTCCATGAAATATAATTGAATCTTTAAGGGAATCGAAAATCAATGAAAAAAATGTATGCTATTAACGTAGTCATTTTTTACAGAGTATAGCTTTTGCATGCTGCTGGAAAGATGTTCGTTCGAAAGCCGGCATCCTAGGATAACTGACATATTATAGAATTACGCTGCTTGCTGATTAGTTCTCCAAATCTACTTAATTAGTCTTTTCGAGACGAAAACGCATTTCCGAATTTCGGTTGACATTTCATGTGTTAGCCCACCTACTGTACATTATTGTAGGTACAATGGACAGAGTTGCTCGAGCCCTGTAAGGAATTAGGGCATGTGAAATCGTTTAGGGTTGTTGAAATGACAAAATATCAAAGCAAGGTAGCTTTCCGAAGCATCAAAAGTCTGCCCGTAATCATTTGCTGTAGGAATTTAGCAGACTTGGCAACATTTACGGGAGTGGCTTGATTGATCAGTCTATTGCCGACAAACAGTTGCATAATACTTTAGTACAGCTTAAACGCGGAGGCAAGCATTGTCAACCTGGGGACACGAAGCATCACGGACAGCCACGGATGATTTCAAAGTTCCTGTATGGGCTATTCAACGGCACATCCGGTAGAACAAGTCGTTTGATTGTTAGAAAATAAGTTTTAGTAACGTCCTATTTGCTCTCGACTGCATTTAAAAAGGATTAGTGGGTTCAGACATGATTATCGTCCCAAGATACATCCAAATATGCCTTTGATTTAAAGAGCATGCCTTTTTGCGAGCGTTCTAAGTGACACTAAGTGACAGGGCACTTTTTAAAATACCATTTCTATTCGTTACCTAGTACACCATATCTGCTGGAAAAATGACAGATTAGTAGAGCTGTTTACTATTTGTGGTTACGTTCCTACCGACATTCAATATAAGTCTCCCCTCCCGTGATAGTGAAATACTCATTACTTCCCCTATCAAGTCTTCATTTGCATAATTTCACGTACAGGACGAAGCGTTGGTCGTATATTTAGGGACACTAATCCGCCGATCATAGCAGATTATGGCTCCTGGCTTAGAGGGCTGGCAAACTGAGGCTGATGTGGGCTGCTCCCATTGGAGGAGCTCAAATAAACCCCTCTCGACCAATGCCGTCTCTTCTAAAAAGAACACTAGCCAAGCCCGTGACATTTAGTGGCCTTCAGTTTAGAGGCGCTTCACTCAGAGTGTATTTAAAGTGCGCTAATTGAGACCTTTGTAGTTTAACATGAACGGCTTCTCTCATCCCTGCGACGGGAATTTGGACAACATGGAGAACAAAGAACGCAACGGGGAAGGATCGAAGTATCGTAAGCGCAAGATAATAACCGGACTTTTTCAAGGTTGAGTGTAGTACAATTTAGCTCTAATTAGTTTTATATTCTGACCTTTCGATCACGTAAGTTCGAACACATGAATTTCCAGCTGCACAACAAATGTCGCTGTCATTCAATTTAAGGAGAGGATTTATTTCCTGTATTTACTAAGTCCCCGCCTTCAGTAAAAAACGAAATTATTTTAAGACATTTTAATCATATCTGCACAGCCCTGAGGAAGGTGTGCTATGAATAGTAATCTAAATAGCTTCTCCAATGCAAGACAATGGAGATTCCTAGTTTCGGCCTGTGGAAATAGTGTCTTTGTACTCAGTGATTGCATGTGACGGAAATTATGAAAATATACAGAACTGTGGTTGGTTCCTGATGGCAGATGTTGAAACCCTTAGTCATCTGAAAATTCTTGTAAACGTTAGCTGCCACCACAATAATTTATGAAAATGCAGTCGGGACGTATTTTTACTGTCTGCATTTTCCAACAAAAAATCTCCTGTGAGTTTGATTTCTTTAAGGAGGGCGGACACGCCATACACAAATTGGCCCAGTAATGTTAAATTCACTGGCTTGAATTCTCTTGTTGAGGCCATACCAGTTTCATTGCTTTATTATTCGGTTAACGAAAAGTATTGACAGTACAGTCGATTTGTGGAACGGAATGTAATGTGGGGTTTTGCATGCATCAGCCATGCATCGTTCATCAGATAACGCCTACACACATGTATATATATGTAGAGAAGAATTGGCATGCATTCCGAGACGATATAATGCAAAAGAAGAGGTTCTTCGGAAAAGATCTAGTTGTACTCGTAAATTTCATGAAAGAAAGCCTCTGCCTTAAACATATATATATGTATATCAGGATCAACCGCTACACTATTCCGATGACGCAGCCGGCAAATTTACTGAAGCGTCAGCATTAATATGATGTATTTTGTGAGGTCACGTCCTCGTTTTCTTGGTCTCTATGCGGAATTATGAACGCAATAAATACAGTGCGTGACCTATCTCATGAAATGTTGGCTGAAATTCTGAAATGCATTTTCGATTATGAAGGATTACTTGGTCGAGGTTGTAATACGAATTATCTTACGGCAAACTCTTATAACATTTTGGACTTGGCAAGATGCCGGCTTTTAAATGCACTTCTTTTCAATCTCCTACAGAAAGCGTGCTCGGTAAAAAATGACTACTTAAGTAGTAAGCATTTTTCCCATTGATTCTCGATGGTCTTGCAAATTCAAATATATTTTATAGAAACCACAAACAAAAATATTTTTTCTTTTAGTCACTCAATATAAAATCACGTCTTATTTATATTTTATACTTAAGGAAGGGGTATAATTAGGTTTTAAAAAAGTTTCTAATTATGAGACTTTTTAAGACCGCGATATGTCCATTCACATACCTGGCCATTCACGTACCTGGCCGTTTTCCACTGCTCCTCATGAAATGTACAACATGGTCCGCATCCATTAAAAAATTTTATGGACCCTGTATGATTGCTCTTTAATGACATAGAAAAATATGGGATTTTCTTTACGCGGAACGCATGCATCTTGTAGAGTGTAATCACTAAGCGCTAATGCAACGAATGATCGGGCTCCAAATTATTCGGCAATTAGAAAACTTTTTTGAAACCTAATTATACTCCTTTTTTAGGTATAAAATATAAAGAAGACGTGATTCTCTATTGCTTTACTAAAAGAAAGCATATTTTTGTTTGTGGTTTCTATAAAATATATTTGAATTTCCAAGACCATCGAAAATCAATGGGAAAAATGCATGCTACTTAACTAGTCATTTTTCACCAAGCACGCTTTCTACAGGAGATTGAGAAGAAGTGCATTTAAAAGCCGAAATCCTGCCGAGTCGGACATGTTATAAGAGTATGCCTTAAGATAATCAGTATTACAACCGCGACCAAGTAATCCTTCCTAATCGAAAACGCATTTCAGAATTTCAGCCAACATTTCATGAGATACGTCACGCACTGTACATAATTTATGCGCACCAGGTCGTCACTAAATGTAATGTCTGCATACGAGCAACTCTTCTCCCTTGGTATTCCTCAGCAAGTAATAATTTTACAAATTTCGTTTGTCTCCAGCCACCTACGACGCCAAAGTGATAAACGGTGTCTGCAATGTGAAGACACTGTCCAAAATTACGTCGACGGAGAAATCCCCGTGTCTCAGCAACGGGGGACCTGTTCAAAGTCCGGAAGTTGTATCGACTTCTGGCCTGATCGCAAATGGTGAAATCGAACGTCCTTCTTCATCCATGGCACCTGCTTGTGAACCAGTCTCACCAACGAAGAAAAGTACTTAATTTTCTTTGCCACTAAACGCCATAAAGTTATGCAGCAAATTAGGTTGCTCATCGCAAAAGAACTTAATCTCAACGTAGTTAGTAAACAGAGGGAACATTTTTGTTTTTAAATGAGTAATGGTGTTGGCTGAAAACTTCATACAGCACGTTTTAAATCAAACGAGGGAAGTTGCACTCGTAATTTTTGGTCCCATAAATAATAGCAAAATCTCGTTGTCAATCAAGGACTCGTGAGAATATCTACTAATTGATGTCGTTAGGTACTATGGGTTAACAACGGACCAAACAGAGTTCCCGCTTTCCAGCGGTCAGTTTCCTGCCTTGAGCATGTTCTTGCGTAGGGTGAGAGTCAAAGCACGAATGTTAAGCTTAAGAAACTGCATTGTGAGAGTGACTGGCTTCAGGTGTTTAGGAAATGTTGACAAGTATATTTAGTGCAACATGCTCGATATATACAGTGCATAGTTATCCCACTAATTTATGTTTTTTAAAAGGGTTAGAAAACACTAAACTCATATATGTCGGACTGAAGAAAACAGTCGATGTAAAACTCCCACTAGAACTGTAATATGATTTGATTTTTAATAATTTGCGATGTTTAGGACGTCCAGATATTTTTGTTTCATCATAGGAGAAAAGAGTTTGAACTTTCTTTACCATGAGTAACCGTAACATTTGGACTTTATCGTAAGTTTTTTATGAATGCTCATGCATAGGAACATCTTGAGAAATTGCCTCTCCTCGAAAAAAAATACATGTATATGCTGTTAGGGTCTTGATAGCATGGAAAGACGCTAGCGAAACTTTAAGAAAGCTCACAGAATGTTGGCCCTTTCTAAACAAACGGACCTCATGTTTCCAGTTAGTTCCTCGTGACCATGCGCTACTTCTAAAATACCAGAAGCTGAGCAGCTGGCAACCGAAATGTTGAGAAAGTCATGGTATTCAGGTAGAAATTCTTTTCCAAAAGGATATAACTAACGGTTGAACGAACCAAAATTTGATTATTAAGTCCCGTCTATTTCTATTAATTTTGCAAATCCACTCAAGCCAATCCTAGGCTTTGGCTTCCCAAAAAGCTTCGATTCAAACTGTGTACATTAAATCCCTTTTGCCTTAGAAATTTTTGTAAAGGATCATTTTTTTTCGATTAACAACTTCTGAAAGCGCCTTCGGCTTAAAGGTTAGTGCACCTTTCATTCCCCCCACCGTTCAGTATGCATACTCAGTCAGACGTCAGCCAAAGGGCAGAAAAATCGAATTTTGCCAAGTTTCAGTGCAAATTTTTGGCCCTTCTTCTCGCAAAACTTAATCTTCTCAGATAATACTGATATCTGCATGCCTTGCGAACTCAGTATTGCCGATAGAGGCAAAAAGCCGAGTCCCAGGAAGCAGTACATAAGAAGGTGTTGTGGGCACTGGAACAATAATTCTATTCCACTGAAATTTCATATTCGCACTCGAACACGTCATCAGCGACGGTCGCAGATTAGAGCCAAAGTCGCACAGGGGAGCAGTACTCACGGGAACATCATATCAGTGGGTCAAATGGCTGAGCATCTATTACAGTAGGTGGGCTAACTCATGAAATTTCAACCGAAATTCCGAAATGCGTTTTCGTTTCGAAAGATTACTTAAGAAGGGCTGTAAAACAAGTCAACCTGCAACATAATTCTATAATATTTCGGTTACCTCTGGGTGCCAGCTTTCGAAGTAACTTCGTTCCGGCTACAAGCAAAATTTCTACTCTGTAAAAAATGACTGCTTATATGGCATGAATTTTTCTTATTGATTTTCGATTGTCCCAAAAATTCAATTATATTTCATGGAAGGCATACATAAAAAATCTTCACTCTTTCGCTCATTTGGTTGAAAATTACGCCTTCTTACAATCTTATACTCGAGAGAAGGGTATGATTTAGTTTCCATAACTTTTCCAATTCCCGAATATTTTTGAACCCGCTCTACCGTTACCGGATTTCAGGGTTTCCAAACCACAAGCCACACATTTTCTGCGTACGGAAAACCACACATTTGTCTACTGTACAAAAGGGGGACCAAATATGGTTCATAAAATTTAACAGTGGATTTGATCCATATTGTTAACTTTACAAGCCACATTTGTAAATGCAGAGACATGAAGATTTATGAACCGCCATTTCAAGTTATTTAAAAGTCCGACCATTGGAAACTTTTAAAAACTGAATTATGTCCCTCCTTCGAGCGTAAGATTGAAAGAAGGCGCAATTGTCAACCAACTTAATTGATCTTTTCGAAACAGAGGCGCATTTCGGAATTTCGGTTGACACCTACTTACTGTAAGTCCTGCATGACGATGTGCGAACACTGGTCATGATTAACTTTGAATGACCGCTAGTCGTGCTATGAACGCTAATCGCGTAGACAATTCATCACCCAGGGCCACAAAATTTAGTTCGTGCTGCTCGACTACTGATTCTGCGGATAGATATGTTTGCCAAGCGCATCATTTAATTCATTGCACCAGAAAGGAAGGTGTCTCCGGCACAGATTGGCGTCCAGATGTGCGGCTAAGCCCTAAGCACATCATCGGACCTGCATCGCACTTGTATGATGGACTTCGTCCGAGAGTCCGGGAGTCCGAACGAATCACCTTATTCAAATCAGAGAAAAACCTACGGTTGATGAATTTTGCCCATCCCACAGTTTATCCGCGTGCATGTGGAAGGTGAGTCTTCATGCTCTCGACAGTTCAGCACTGTGTTAGGGAAATCACTATAAACCAGTGTGTGCTGACATCTTTGTGCACTGATGAATTTGAGGTTTTAAAACAGGACTGTCAGCCTACTCCCGCTGCTCTTGTTCATATTTTACTTCTTAAGACTATTATTAAGTGTCTGAAACATAAATTTTGGCCAAAACTCATGCTAAGTCTAAATGGGATGTAATAGTTAGGCGTGTTTACAGCGTTCTTTAAAAAAATGGCTTTGTCTCATCCTAATATATGTATAAACGTTGACTGACGGCTTACCTATTCACATGAAACTGTATAAATCACAAGCGCATAACTACTACAAATGCAGGAACGCCTGCAAGGCATCATCGTGCTTATCCGAAACAAATCCTTTGAACAGAATAATTTTCAATGTTTGTCCTCTGGAAAACTTCGTACTATCATAAAGTACTATTTGTCGCTTAGAGCGGCATTTCCAAGCGAGACCTGAGCTTTATGATCACGCTTTTGATTGCGTCTAAGACGGATGATACAACTTGCAGTCCCATATATTGAATTTAGACGGTGTGTACCTCATGAAGGTGAAGTCTCTACAGTTGCTGTGCACTTCTACATCATTATGGAGATTAATGTTCCGTTTCTATTTGCTGAATTAACCTGATTCTCTTGAAAGGTGTCTTATCCGCCACTTTTTATTCTTAAAGGTCGCACCCAGTTGGAAAGCGAGTACTTTGAGGGAATGCGCACCCAGTGCACAAAGGCCATAAATTTGTCGGCAGATTACTTGCAGGGCGTCGCCAAACATCGGGTTTTCCCGCAGGTTGAGCCCGGCTACCTGCGACCGCTTCTGCCGCAGGAGGCCCCCAACGAACCAGAATCCTGGGATCAAATATTCAACGACGTGCATAAACTGCTAATGCCTGGCGTACGTCCTACCGAGAGGCGGGGGGGGACAATGCCCTTAACCCGGCCTTATTTTGTTCGCTCGAATTTATTTTTGATTTGCTTGGTACCTCATGCTTTCTTCAGTCCTCAAATCCACTCGCCGAATTTGGCACAGCTGACTGAAGACGGGCGACAAGTCAAAAACGGTCGTCCCAGTCTTCTTTATATAAGCGGGACAACGATCGGGTGAAGGACACCAAACACACACGACCAGACAAATGTGCCTATATTATGGGAAAGGTGGTAAAAGGGGTTTTACGGGCGGGGCCTATGTATGCATAGAGGAATGGCAAAATAAGTATAAATAATTGATAAATTCGGTTTCCGGGCGGAAACGTTCTAATGTACTGACACAAACAACCGAAATTAAATTGGACACTTAAAAGAATAGGCATTAGGTGTCTACAGCGATCGCCTCTCAACTCTCTGAGCTGAGGTGATTGTAGTTAATACCCCAGACCGTCTACCTCAGACGATCCAACCTTGTGCGATTAAACATCAAACCGAAATAATCGTGTCGGACTAAAACCCACTTAAATAAGCATAGTAGGTATTCTTTGTATGTCAAAGAGGCTTGGGTGTCTTCACCCGATCCTAACCGTGTCCGCGAGGGTTCTAAATCGATCTCGAGGGCACAACGATAGGAGCACGACCCCGACATGATCGGTGAATGCTATTCAACACGGTAGTAAATACTGACGATCACAAACGACATGGCAACGGATCCGGGCTCGATGCTAGAGCACAAAACACTCAATAGCCAAAGACTTAAATCTCGAACTCCAGGTTATTCAAACCTGGGTTTGATCATACCTGGCTGCCTATGCTTTGTCGGTATTATCCCCGGCCAAATTGATGCTTTGCTGACGGACAAAGGCAAGAGCGACTGGAATGGCTATTTCTGGCTTATCAGTCATCATCAGCCATCGATGCCCAATCCCGAGGTGTGAAGCACCTGGGACTCGATCCCGCGACCCGTTTGTAAGAAGTCTAACGTCCCAAACCACTAATCCAGGGGCTCGTTTCCCTGTCGGTTGCGATCGGGAATATATGATGGAAAAGGGGCGCTCAACGATCGTGTTACGGAACTCACTCGGCCCGTTGTGCCCTGCTATTCTTTGTCGAGCCCAACCAGCAGCCACGCAGCGGCACCTCTATTACGCGTTATATTGGCGCCGCTGCGTGGCTGCTGGCTAGGCTCGACAGAGAGCCCCAAGGCACAACGGGCCGAGTGAGTTCCGTAACACGATCAGTGCTCTCTCTTCTACTGTTGTTATGTTTCTTCTGTGAGGACTGATAAGAAAACGCCTAAATAGCTCAGGTATCAGACAGGGCAAACGAAACTTTCGAGGGAGGATGCGAATTCGAGTCTTAATCTGTTCTTGCCTATTCTCTCCCCCCCGCTGAAGGTTGCCCACTGGAATCATCCACACTTTCATGCCTACCTCGCCGCGGCTAATTCCTATCCTGCGTTGTGCGCTGACATCATTTCCACTGCAATCGGTGGAATCGGATTTACCTGGGTAGGTTTGATCCCACTGGCCAATCCTCTTTAAGTCTGGAAAAAACCCGTTTAAAGTCATATGGTGATTACTGTCGAAATTCGCTGTATTGCGTCTTGCCTATTTGAAGCCTGGAAGCTTGTGAGTAGTTGGATGGAATTTGGCATGTTCTAAGTTTCGCTCCCCTCCCGTTTCACAGGCATCCTCCCCTGTGAGCACGGAACTCGAGGTTGTCATGCTGGACTGGATGGCTAAACTCCTCAATTTACCAGAGTTCTTCCTTTCACATACAGAAGGCGGCGGCGTGATTCAGGTATGGTACAACAATAGGCTGCTCCTGTCCCTCACATGCAGTATTTTTGATTTTCTCCTTTTCACCATAATAATGTCATGAAAGTCCCTGAGATTGCATGGTCTCCCTTCTTCCCAGCCCCTTTGAATCACACTTAGAAAATTTGGCGAGGTCGGGTACTGCAGCCCCACTTAGTTGGTACCACGCGGTTAGCTTCCTAAAACAGTTTTGGTAGGTGCAAGTACGTTGACTTTACAAATATCACGTGTTCGCACCTTCCTTGTCATTTTAATTCAGCCAGTGACTGGCTATGCCACGGGAAAAGTGCTTATACGCCAGCCTCGGTTACTTCAGGTACCAGTTCACATGTGGCTCCCTGCGCGTACTTGGAGGCTTGCTTACGCCCTCTTTATCATCTCAATTCACAGAGTAGATAAGTAGACTTGCTAATGTCCTTGTTCGGACGACGTGGAACTTCGTCGGTTTCACTATAGTGAGCATGCATTTCGAATTACCACGCGGTTCCCTCCGTGGCTCTCCAGTTGCGATTGCGTCCCAAGTATCCTTCTAATCCAGCAAGCGGCTGTGTCGTGGGCAATGTGTACAAGCCATCTTCACTCGCTTTCCTGCGCGCGCTTCGTACTCTGCTTGTACTCTCTCCCTAACCCAGCGAGGGGTTAAGTTAGGTAATGCTAACTAACATTTTTTAGGAAGCTAACCATATGGTATCAATGAAGTGGGGCTGAAGAACCAAACCCAACCGAAAAGTTTTATTGTTGATCCTCTTCACAAGCTTATGTTACATGCATAAAACAATATATTTGCATAAATGTACATTTTCCGCCCTCAGGGAACTTCAAGCGAATCATCATTCGTGAGCTTACTGGCAGCTCGAAATGTCGCCATCGAAAAGTACCTTCGACTTCACCCAAACATCTCCAAATTTGAAATTCAGGAGAAATTGGTCGGATATCATTCAGATCAGGTAAAACACAAGTATACAGTTACTCGATAAAGTGCATTCATGATTTCTGTATAAACCTATTGCTATAATTGGGTGCAGACTGACCGGTTTTATAGACACCGCTAAAATCGTTCCCGTCAAAGGTTGGCAACAGATGTCCTCTTTATTCAGGTTTCATAGATGCGTCGCAAGCATAAAAAAACTGTAAACACTTGCAGCCCAACTTCATTTTAAAAGGCTGAGGAACCGTTGACGGGAGAGCAGGGTTGTTTACGGGTAGAACGATCCGGCAACGGTTTAGAGAACACCCCATTTAACTGTCAGTAGACTGTGGATCGTGCCATACGTGATTAATGGTAAAGGGAGTTTTATGATCGGGACAGCACGCTAGACAGTAAGCTAACAGAATGAAGGAAAACACAAAATTGCCCGGATTTATGCCGAAAGTCTTATTCAACGTTACTTTACGACAACGAAAATGAGTTGTAATTAAACAATAAACAAAAGTCAAATTTCACAAAATAACGGATTATGAGTTAAGGTTTGAGGTCGCTGAAAATAATCCTTATTGGCAGAGTAATTTCTGAAGCAGATTGCAAACGTATGCCAAGATAAGACCCCATATGCCACGATCCACAGTCTACTGACAGTTAAGTGGGGTCCTTCTTTATACCGTTGTCAATGATCCTCCTCCGAACGGTATTTATGCCCGCGTCCTAACTTTAACCGTAACCCTGACACTAATCCTAACTCTAGCGTTAACTTCCCTAAACCTAACTTCTATTCCTAGCTCTCCTCGCCTTAAACCACACTCCGACGTCTACTGAAATTTATCGCAAGGCCACTTGTTATACCGGGGCCCATATTCCCATTCCCTACTGGAGAGCACTTTCACTGGGTACTGGCAGGCAAAATGATAGGATGCGACTTTAAGGCGTCAGACGATGACCACATCTGAGGCCCGAAGAGCAACTGTATGAAAACCTGCAAGGTTTCTCAAATGGCTTTTTTTACGGTCAGTCAGCGAGCTACGGAGTCCAATGAGCCCACTTCAGCAAAATAAGACAGGTGGACCACCCAGACCCTAAGTGCCTTGCTGGTCGAGAAATCAGCTTGGCTGCAAAACCAGAGTACTATGGATGTCAGTTGGACCTAGTCTGATGATGAGCTGCGCAGCATTGCCATAAAGCCGAAGGCAACTTGGGGAAGCTTTCGAAAAACTGTCGATGCTTGTTGACACTCTGGCTGGCACGGGGAAGTAAAAGCGTTTTTGGTCAGATGTGGTTATTTAGCCGCACCTGAGGGAAACAAAGCCCAGCCACCTGTAATACTGGATCGGCGGTAATAGGCATTTTACAGGTGAAGCCGAGAAACTCACAGGCGACGAGGACAAATAACCGTATGCAAAAGAAAAGCTCTTTGGAATGCGCGGTTAAACTTTGAGTGGTTGAGAAAAAGTTGCCCTAACCCCTAACCCTAACGCCTAACTCTGACCCCTCACCTTAAGCCCTCACACCAAATCTAACCCCCGAACCCTTACTCTAACTCCTGGCTCTGAACCCTGACTCCCTGTCCCTTTACCCTAACCCCTAACTCTAAGCCCTTGCCACTAACCCTAACCCCAACCCTAACCCTTAACCGCAGCCCAAAATTCTAACCCTGAAAAAAACATGAGTCTCTCTGGAAGGTAATGCCTTCGTCTGATGTGTCAGACAGGTACTTTAGTTTATCAGTCGCCGTCTTTTTAAGGCTCACGCGTCTGTGGAGCGTGCAGGACTGCTCAGTCTTCTGCGGTTCCGTTCACTTCCCTGCAATGAGAAATTCGAACTGGACGGACCGACTCTGCGAAAGGCTGTGGAAGAGGACGTCGCCAATGGCCTCATCCCCTTCTATGTATGTCTCTTCTTTTTCCTAGAGGGTTCTGCCAGTGTCTGTATGATTTTCTGCACCCGGTTAGTCCTTGGGTGCCTCTACTCAGATAGCAATGACGAGTATATTTGAAAAGTTCCTGCTGAGGCGTTGTTGTGTCTACGCGGTGAGAGCGTATCCTCAGGGCGGATGCCCAGTTGTATGAGAAGACAGAAGCCATCAGAACGAGTGTTTTATTGCGTGCCGAACCGTGAGTTGTCCTCTCAGGCGACATTGACCGCTGGCGAAGCCAGGGCCAGTATTGTCTGCGTCCAGTCATGCCTGAGAGTCCGTGAAACTGTGGTACCGGCTGCGTTTGCAGGTTTGTGGGGAAGTCTGAGGTAATGTCCAATTGGTTTGTGTGTATGCATTGCGTTCGCCGTGGAGTGGTGCTTTGGGCGGTTCATGTTGCTGGTTGCTGGGATGTGGTTTGTTCAAGTACTCCCAGGCAGCTGTAGACGCACGTGCATCCGAGTTGAAGTCAATCGAGTGGCTACAAGTCAGTGCGCCGGGGCCTTGAACAATCACGCCAGACTGGCCATGATGGCTGCCGCAACAGCTCGCCCCCCCCCCTCAGACATAGAATAAAGCGGAAGTAAAATTTGACTTCAGCTCGCACCTCGGGTAAAAATTGCGTACCTTGTTGACATGTTTCGCCTAGACATCACTCATTTGACCTGCTTACTTAGCTTTTTGGTAGCTTTTTTTGTTTAATTACTCGAAGCACTATGAATTTCATTTTGCGGACGAGGTAAATTATAAAATGAATGAGATAATGCCCTGCATATGCAGGTTGCGGAGCCTTTGTCGAGTATACCAGGAGTTTCTGGTAGTGAAGACCCGACGGATGTTGCGACCTGTGCAGAGGTGCAGTCGGGGCATTAGCCGGAATTTTGCCTGGCGTGAATGACCTTGACACAACGGGGCCTTGAACAAGGACGTAAGAGATGTCCAAGATGGCTGTCAGCAACAGTGTCACTCTCCTTCAAAGGCAAACTCAGCAGTTCAACCATCAGAATCTTCGGTACTGCAGTCCTCGGTAGACTAGACACAAACTTGAATGAAAGTATCTTCGGCTTTATTTTGGCTACATATCTTCCTAGAAGTTTAGATGGTAGTGCATTAGAACTGACGTTGAGTGTGTAAGACAAAGTCCCAAATAGTAGGCGAGCCGACTCCACCGTAAGGCCAAGAATCTAATTCGCCTCAGGCTGCGGACACATAAGATATTCCGTCATTTGATATTGAAACAAATTTTGGTAGTGGGGAATTTGGTGCTTTAATATCTAGGGGATGTGATCACTACGCTATTATATATTTGCTGATAAGTGGGCCGTCTTCGAGCTATCAGCCCCTAATCTATCATTATAACCAAAAGTAATCTTCGAGATAATGTGCTGACTGACCGCACCCGGGTCTCTGATCTAGGAGTAATCATCTAAAGTTCACGCCGTCCAGGAGGTAGAAGTGACTGAACTCTTCAAGAAGTATGGCGGACATGCGAGTGAAGAGCTGTCTGAATCACAGATCTGCATCTTTAAAGTAAATTAGTAAAGGCAAGGATTTTCCTAGCCTGTGAACCCTTAAATCTCTCCTTGACGGCGTGCCCAGTCATCCTGGAGACGGGCGTAAGAAATTCTTCTGAGCCGTGTTACTAAGGAGAGGAATTGATAGGCCATTTTCGCAAGGAGTTTGACCGCCTGCGATGAGTTCCCAACAATCCGAGAACTGCGCCAGGCCTATTAGTCGATGGGCATACGATAACACATAAATCAAGTTCACGAAATAGTGCACCCCTGTGTCCCCCACACTACTACTTGGCGTCTCAGTACGCGATGCTGGGCTCCGGGACAAACTTCAAACGAATGTAGATCATTTTCCGGCAATGAAGCCCCACTTATCGATAAACACGCGGCCTCGCTCGCTGCCTTCAGGTACCCATGTCTTCATTCGGATGCATTTTGGTGGAACGCAGTTCAAACTGCAGGAGTTGACAAACAGTAACTTCAGGAAAGTGGATGGGAACACTCCTTTAACGAGGAATCATGCAAGTCCAGGCGAGTAGATGAAGAATAATTCTAGTAGGTTCAAGGACTTCTGGTAAGGGTCGGGTATGTAGCCTTCCGGGTGTTTGGTCAAAAACCCAACTTTTTATCTAACTCAGTTAAGTGTATTTCATAACGGCTTGCCTCGCAGTAGGTCGCAAAAGAGGTTGTGCAGGAAGTTGATATTAACCTCCACTAGCGTTATGGACATTAAAGTTGCCCTTTTTGGGCCCAGGGTTAGGGTTTCAGCATCGGTTAGGATTAAGGTTAGTTGGGTTAGTATGGGGACTATGGTTGCCAGGCATGGTCTGTGGCTTGGATTTGGGGTTGGGTTTAGTTCTCTAGGACTTGGTTTAAGGTTACGGTTACGTCCGAGTGTTCCTTTAATGCCTGCTGGTTAGAGATTTACCTTTGAAGACATGACCATGGTTGACGTTATATTTGTGGCTAGCTACGATTTCTCCAAGGGGGTTACATACCATACCGTTGCCGGACTTTGCCCCATCGGAAGGTTTCCTAAAAACCCACTCCATAATTTAGCTTCAAAGTCAAACTGAGAACTAGTTGGCGATATTCTGAGTGATATGAGGTGCCATGAGTACAAGTAGTAGGAACGATTTCAGCTCAATAACTGTCAACTGCCAGAGGTTTCACTAGTAAGTTTATCAGTCATACTGGCAAAACTCGTCGAAGAATGCTCTCTCCTAGTGTCATTCAAGCATTCCAATTCTCCATTAAGGTGGCTGAAATAACTTTTGACTTCAACGCGATAAAGTTAAGGAAATTTTAGGAAGAAGGATCGCGAATTACGCTCATGACAGGAAGTCTTCCTAGTCTCCGCTAAAGGATACCATAAACTCATGTCTCTCTGCCGCATCCGAACTCGACACTCAGTGTGTACTACAGAAATGTTTCCTGTTCATTTGTCTTGGCAGGGTGTTTTTGACGTATCAGTGGCTCTTTTATTCGGCCTGTAGCCGCATTCCCGAGATCGTCTTGTACATGACCTTCATGGTATGAACTACCTCGACAATGACCGTTGTAAAACTCCCGTATATGTCTTATGTGGTGCTGGATCAGTTAATAATCGTCTTCTGTGACCTCTGGCATGTGAAGACTGCAAAGACAAGGGCTTCGGATCATGTCGATCACTGCGCCCAATTTCATCCTCAGATGACTCTAGTTGATGTGGGAGGGGAAGGAGGGACTTACATCGATTCGGCCTGGATCAAGCGCATAGTTTTTTGAGTATGAACAATTCGGTTCCTTGTAGACCATAATAACGCACCCAAAGTCGTGGTATGAAGGGTTGTTAACCGACAGACTTACCAGGTCTCCACCCAGGTTTCAGGTCCGACTAAACTGAGTACTTATTAGGTTGAGATCAAGGAACAGCCACCAGTGTGGCACTCGTGGATTTTCATTCAATCTCGTTAACCACTTGATCGATACCATTTTAACGTATACTTCACATTATCTTGTCCTTGAAACAAAGCGACTGGGGAAAGAGAGCGTGAGGTCACCTCTGCGCATGTCTACCTCACCCAACTTTAGTAGATGTGCAAGCCGCCAATGAGCACTCTAAAAGGCAGCGGTTGACTGAACTGAACGAAGGAAAGTAGTCGTATTGGCAGTAGCAACAGTTTTGATTGTAGTAGTATTATTAACCGTAGTTGCAGTAGTAGTAGTAGTAGTAGTAGTAGTAGTAGTATATTACTACTAGTAACCAGCACGTCCGCCTTCCTAGATCCGTGTTTCTTCCTTCTAAAGTGCGTTGGCAGTCTTTTAGAAGCTGTCTGCAGATCTAACCCCTTCTGAAAGATGCCGCACTTAAATATTTTTCCCGGCAACCAAGGGCTTCCGTGTTCTTGAAGACAGAACCACGTTTCGATGTCAGTAGAAGAATTTTCTTCTGCTTCACAAACCCAACGCGTAACCTTAAGCACTTTTGTAGACACCCAGAAGCCTCTGTAATCAAGTCGTTCTCGCAAAGCTGTCTCCGATTCGATATATGGCTAGTTGTACCTGATGGCAGCTGTCTCAGGTTGGTGAAGTAATAGACAATAAGCTATAACCAGTGACACTTTCGTAAATCAAAATGCCTATTAATTATTAAAAAACGCCCCGAAAAAAACGATACGCTGCTAAGGTCTTGCATCTGAAATATTTTTGGTTATAAAATACCGTCGGTTTTGTTCTCTCTCGGTTCCTCCTCAGGCAAATTTCATAATCTTTTCTTGAATTTGCGCAGACTTGGTATACTTATTTGCCTGCAAATAGCCTAGTTTCTCGTTTTTCCACCAGCATTTTGGTTTCTTACATATCTATGCACCTAAATAATCGGCCTTGCCTTTCTAGTGTGTCGCGACGCTAGGTACAACGGCAACATGCAGCTACGATCGCCTGCCTGAGATTGGCCCCATCTGTCAAGAGTACGATATGTGGTTGCACGTGGACGCTGCATATGCCGGCTCAGCTCTCATTTGTCCCGAATTTCATCGTCTAATGCCCGGCTTGGAGGTATGTCGTTATTGACTAACCAACCAATCAGAATGCAGAAAGCCTGCTTCGTTCTGTTGCGAAGATGTTTGCATATAATAAGCAGGTTTTCTGGCAGCCGCGTCCACACCATCGTATGTCAAAACGTGCCCCCCAAACGGGCCGTTCGGTAGATGCGCCATACCACCACGGGCCTACATTGGATTCCGACTGGCCTTATCGGGTATGCCCACCCATAACATATGCCAACATTCGGAGTGCGGTGGTAGGCCCATTTGTCGGCTGACTTCGCGCACATTGGGATCCCTGCCACCCTCCCAGTTTTGCTGTTGTTCTAAAATCCTGGTCTAGTGTTTGTTGTTGACCAGGGGGTGTGGAGTGGAGCGCCAAGGCGTGGGTTCAGTCGGGCCACGCACCTGCGCCCTCCCCCGTTCATAGTCTTCTCGACTCTGTACTGAGGCCGGACCCAGGGGGAGGGGTGAGAGTGTGATAGATGCTGCGCAAGTCTGTTCTCACTGTAAACTTATTCATGCGCAAGCCACCGTGTCTGACTCACCTTGCTATGGAGCACACGGCGGACATCATCGGGCACGACGGTCGAACTGTCGTTTGTGCCAACAGGCAGGCGTCACAGGGTCGCGGGGGTTTATAAGATTTTGACGGGCAAGTCACGGGAATGCTCGGAATTCAGAAGTACAGATAGGGGGACAATCAGTTTGTATCATTTCCCTTAAAGTTTCTACTAAATTCCACCACTAGCGTGCCACCACGAATTTGGTCGCAGTAGACTTCGGATAGCAAACTGACATACACAGAGGTGAGAGAGTGACCCATTTGCGTCAGTAGTCAACGAGAGGTTTCCCAATTCAAAATTCATGAGTGCAGAATGCGTAAGGCAATCTTTGCTCTGGTTGGGAGTGTACTAGCAGCCCTGAAGGTGACAGCAGTAACCGGTCGAGCAAATTTGGAGTCCGCAGTTTTTGCGTTCGTCAGCACGACGAGCGCGTGTGCGCCTGAGCCACGTCCGGCTGCGGCCAATAATTGAAGAGTAAAATATCGATCGGCGTCCGGTCGTCCGCAGGTCGAAGGTTTGCAATCAACTGGCAAGCGAGAGTTGTCTATCGCCACGCCGAGTGGACCGCCGCAGGAGCAGACGTTTAGGCAGGATTCTGTCAGACTTTTAAGGTCGGTGAGACTGAAGTTCCCCCGAGATGTGGCAAGTACCAGTCGAGAGAATTTTATCGCTATTGTCCAGCCCGCAGTCCATTTACAAACACAATGAATCCCCACCCCTCAAAAACGGACCTGCGGGACGTGCTCCAGTGAGCGCTGTTCAGGGAGCTGAACTGTTTGCGCGTTATCACAACAGTGACAAGCACTTTATAAGAAACCAATTTCGAGCAAATGTATTTTCGACGTCATTGTCCTTCGTACAGCAGTAACCGATGTCATAGGACGTTTTATTTCTCCTGTAGCGACCAAACTGTGGGTATGTGAACTCAGTGCGCTACAATCATCAGGTCAAATCCCAAATCGTAAGGAAAAGTCAGAATTGAGCAGAATGGAGAGTTTATTGTGCACAGAACCCGAGTTGTCCCCTCAAGCGGCAGTGGCCGCTGGCGATGCCAAGGCTGGTGTTGACTGCATCCAGGCAGGCCTGAGAGTCCCTGGGACGGTGGTGGCAGCCGCTTTTGTAGGCTCACGGGTCAAGCCCAAGTACTCTGCAATCGGTGTGTTTTGTATTTGTCGAGGCGTGGTGTCCCAGTGGCCTAGGTTGTGGTTGCAGTGGGGAGGTACGTTCACGTGACGGCATGGGCAACTGCGGCTGTGTGGACGCAATTGTGTCCGAGCTGAAGCCGGTCGAGTAGCTTCAAGTTAGCATGTCTGAAGCGGATCGCTGTGAGATATGAGTGACCTTGAAACAACGAGGCCTTGAACAATTACGCCAGACTGGCCATGATGGCTGCCCGCAACACTCTAACATCAAGTGATGATAATTTGTCAAACTGCTGCCTTAATGAAAAAAAACCGTCATGCATCCTGCTTTCGTTTAATGAGCATGTACCCTATTTCAGTCCTTGAACTTACTGTGAATCGGCTTATTTACTGTAGTGCGTGACATGCAGTTTGTGAATAAGCTTTCAGGCAAACGTGTGTGTCCGGTAGACTTGGAACCCTAGTACATCCCCCATTACAATGTACGGCGGTCACCTCTGTCAGCCTGTTTCTGATAGGGCTGTGCGATTCAGAGCCCCCTGTCACGGTTCATTCGAGAGCCTTTAAAGGGTTCTGAGTGTCGTTTCCAGCGGCAAGGGAAATTCAGTATGGGGCAGTTCTTTCCCTTGCGGAGGCCTCCGCAGAGGCAACTGTATCCTGTTCTAACTTAGTGGAACTGTCCCTGTCCCGAGAAAAGAGTCGCGCTGACAGTGACGATGTCCGAGTTCTAGGAACAGCGATACCTCCCCTACCTCGTGGAAGAATGATGATTATGTTATCCCAAAGACTACAAACGTTCCACGTGCACCGTTACTCAGTCGTGGGGTATGGGGGGGTACAGCTGCTGTTTACAGACTTTGGACATTGTTTACAGTACAAAGCCGACATTGTCATCTCCGAGATTATGGCAAGTCAACATACCTAGGGGACCTTTTCTAAAGCCGCTCTCCTAGAGAAGGTAGCTAGTACCTTCCCGAAAGCGGCTATTCGGACACACAAGCAGCTGTGGAAGTCCTCTGGGGCGAAAATGTGATCCTAATCAGTCTCGTGACATGACGTAGATATTTGGTGTTAGTGATGAGTGCAAGCGGTGATGAAGGTTGCCTGCACACGGAATGAAACACCGTGGGAATTACTCATGCCCTATTGGTATACCCCTCTTTGCCGACTCCAGTCTGATCGAGCGACAGGGTTATCTCAAGGGAATGCGCAATAAGGCCTCGCGGTTCATCCAACACAAGCCCCAAAGTTACTGGTGACACGACACGGGCGCTTCCTACACACTGACCCACTCATGCCAAAGGCGGGGTGAGAACGAAAGAGCGTGTAATTGGTCAACCTTGGTCTACGGCAAGCGCGGAGCCTGAACAAGCTTCTTCGTAGTTCACAAGACCGGCTTTCGTAACCCGATAGCGGCAGCTTTGTCTGTTGCTAAAAGACTTTAGCTTAGGATAGCTCGAGGGAACCTTGAAAACCACACGAAAATCTTCGCTGGTGTTCACACGATGCCTGGAATCGACAAATGTTAATCGATTTCTCTAGTCACTGACATTATTTACTTAACCCCTTTCCCGTATACAAGTACTGGCTTGAGGAGACTCTGTCGAGAGCAAACGTACAGAGGTTGTGATAACTCATGAAAAGTCATGATTTATCACCAGAAAATCCTAATAATGCACAATCCTTCCAAACTGCGTTTTCCAAAGCCTTATAGCAGTAAAAAGAACGACTGTTCTTTAACAAAGGCATAGCTAAGTCCAAAACTATTATTTACTAGCGCAAAATTAATTAATTTTCACTGAAAACTAGCATTCCAGAAACTGGCTTTATGACACCAAACGCCGAAAATTTACAACCTGGATTTTAAAGCTGAATTCGCCCTTCTCTTCTTTAAGCCAATGCCATTTACCATACCCGTCCTTACCTGATCTTCCTAAAGTAGAGCCGAATTTTTCACTCCCAAATGGGATTTTTGGTAATTCTCCTGTTTATACGAGTATTCATTCACAGCTTCGCGCACATAAGCATGAGATTTTGATCTGCGAGTTTTAACGATGTAGGAAATTACCTGGATACCAAGAAAGGTCAGCTTTCCCCCAAATTTGGGTTGTTTTCCTTTTAAAAAACTGAGCCGAAATAAATCGCTTTCCATTAAATGGTTTTCTGCGCCTCGAATCAGTTTAAAATACACGAATAACAACACCAAGTTTATGACATACGTCTCACTCATATTTCAGTCATGACATTTCAAGAGTTAGACCACCTACTGTTGTCTCGCGAACTGTTCTTCTGGATACTGTCGTAGGAGTCTAAACATTGTCCCTTTATCACTGCAAATAACGGAAAATATATGTGACAGTGAGCCACTATGTTATTTTATAGCAGATCTGTGTGCAATTTAAGGTCAGTGTTCTGCCGTCACAGTTTCTCCATGCATGTTTGCGTCCTTATCCTCAGTCACTGAGATTCATGCAGCATGTTCTAGACAGTCTGTCAGACGTAAGCTGCGATTGTTTCGAAAAGCCACCATATTTTATTGACTCAGTCGTTTTGCCCTAGAAGTGCGTGAAAAACTGGGCCTTGGGCGCCTAGGCTGAACTCATAAGAGGCAGATTGATTTTACTGTTTAACGTGCTGGTCTGCGTTATGATAGCCTGACGCGTTTCTTTCATTGGCGCGCTTTTATGACGCCTTTCTGCCATTTTGCTTTCTAGTACATTTCGTCCTTCGCCTTCAATCCACACAAATGGCTTCTAATGAACTTTGACCTCTCCATTGTCTGGTGAGTCTGGTGTACTGACTTTATCAATCTGCACCTGAACTTGCATTACCACTTATGGACATCTTCTTAACTTGAAAGTCTATTACGAGCCTAAAGAGAACTTCAAGGCCTTGTTAACTGCAGCGAAAATGAGACAAAAAGGACTAGCCCATCACAGGCATCATAAGTTAATATGGGAGGATAGTTAAACCTCGCAAATATTAGGTCAGAGGTAATTACCCACCCTGCAGGGTAAATCGTGGTTTTCCAAAACCGCTGACGTCGGCTTTGTGAGAAAGTTGAGGGAGAACCGTGAAATGGTTGTACGAGCAGGTTGTCGCAATTTTAAACCGCTGCATTCATATATAATTAGGGAACTCACTGAAATTGGCCGTGTACTTTGACTGTCAAAAACCTCATTGAGGAACGATTGCAGATCAGGTTACGGCACGTGCTCGTTTTGTTATGCCCTGGGGCTTGGGCTAGAGCCCTTGCGGGCATTTGCATAGCAACAAGCCGTAGGAAACTCTGTAGTTCGAGCCTCAGGTTCTCCCAGATTTGGGGGTGAGTGAAGCTGGCTGACGACGTCCAATGGGTCAGGAATGGAAATCTCAGCCTTCTTTGTATTTCTCGGTGCCGCCACCACCACCAACACATCATCACATACTACCTCGAGCTCGCCTGTTCGATACTACTAATTGTTATGCCACCGCCTGTGTGATCTTTAGATGAGCTTGAAGACCAACTGGAACGGGTACGTTCCATAACCTGATAGGTTAGCGCTATCATAACACAGTCAACCTTCTCGATCACAACCGAAAGAACAGCGAAACTGGAGCTCAATGGTTAGAACTTCGGATGGTAGCAATCGGAAGATGGCACCCAAATATTCGTTGCCTAGAAATAATACCTACTATATATTTGCGTAGGTTATAGCCCTACATATCTGATGTTTCATTCGACCTCAGTTCCATCTGACCTTCAGTCCACATGCTGCCTCACTTAGATTATCATAGTTTCCAACATTTGAGATGCGATCGCTGTAGACCCAGCCATGGTTAATCAACCTTGGCCTAGGCTTACACGACTGACGAGTGGCAGCAGTAGTGGGGTTGCGGCTAAATCTAACCATACCTAAGGATATTAGAGAAACGATCGCTGTAGACCTACACTAGCACTATCATTCTTCACCATTGCTTCCTGAGGTGAGGAGCAACCGCATTTGTCGGTATCCGGCTTTATCTATGGCAACATACCTTATGATATGTTAGCGTTCACATCTAAGCCTGCATAGTTTAGGATAGTTGTGAAACAATATCTGCTGACAAACCCTACCATTATTAAGATTGACATCCGGATACACAGCTGAGGACCGACCGCTATGGTGCATTTGCGACATAAACTATTCTAGACAGGCTGTTTTGGTTAGGCAGATTTTTTTGGTTGCCATCTCCCGATTGTTACCCTTCGTATCTACTAACACCCTCAGACGCTTCCAACCTGCGGTTAAGTAAGGCTGACTAACGATGGCCAATAAGGCATAAATAGTCATCCTTTGTCCTTTTCGTTACCACCCAACATAAAGGTACTGTTAGCAAGCGCATGCACTCGGGTTCTTAGAGGATAATTAAGGTGTCAGATAGCTACTTTAAAAATATTTACATGTGCCTAGTATATCGAAGACAAAACCTGACAATTTTTCAAATGTCCAGTCTGCGAATTCCTTGACTGATTTGCTCGACATGTCACCTGACAACGTAATTCTCATGAAAACACTTTCTCTTACCAGACTCTGTAATTTTAGATGACTTTTCAAAGAAAGTTTCAATCATTTTTAAAAAAACGCAAGGCAGACTCAAGCTCTCCCTGATGGACAGATCAACTAAGCGTGATGGGTGTACCTTCCTTATATCATTTCTGTGCCAGTTCTGCCAATTTGGGCTATAGAACTTGTGCGCAAAATTGAGTTGACAGTTCGACCATCGGTTTCGATGTAGCGCTGCAACAAGCATGGACCCTAGGGACACCATCCGTCCGTTTGTCGTGCTGAATGTCAAATGCTTGTAAAAATAAATGTTATCGAATTTCCTATTCCGTGCCCTCAAAACAATTTACAAAATCTTACCAGATTCGAACTATATCGCGCATGAGAATCTGGATAGGGCGTCTCAGGAAGTGACAGACAGTCCTGGGTCATGCGTTTAACTTCGCAGCCACCAAGATTATCGCCCGCGCCGGGAACAAAACAGGCCGAGAATTGCTTGATGCCTGGGCCTCGGATGAGAACTCAGTCAATCGATTTACCGATCCGGCGCCTGCGCAGTCACCTCCAGTCTTGCGCCATCGGTAGATGATTGGCTAACACGTCCTATGACAGTCGCTTGTTCTATTGTTGCTTCTATCGCTGACGATAGACTCCTGCAGGAGTTCGAAAGCCCAGAATAATAACCAGAATTTTCCGTTGCTCGGCCACGCTGTTTCCTCATCTACAACTACAGGGACTACAGCAGCGAAATAAAGTCGGTCGAGACTTGTCACACATTCACTGGTCTTCTGTGTGCTGTCGACTTCGGCGCCATTGACAGACTAGGAGCAGACATCGTGGGCCCGACCACGAGGGATCGACCTGCATTGGCTGGTCTGTGCCTATTTCTGATTACACAACTGTGTCAGAAGGCCTAACAAGCCAACAAGCTCCAGAGAGTAAGCTGCGACAGACTGATGGCGAAATACTGTGTCACTGCTTGATGTGTTTTTGTTTTTCCAGGAAAAAGACCTTTTAGACTGAGGGCACGAGCACAGGCCATGAGGAGTTATGGAGGTCTTGCACATGGTTATGTTGTCAACCAAACCCTACGCTTTTACCTGATAGCTGCCAGTCCACGCGTGATTTCTAAGTCAGCGTGACTGCGAGGCAGAACTATCAGGGAACCGTGGGGAGAACTGAGACCGTAGAAATGCTCTCCTTCTCCACCGTCCCCGTCTGTCTCCACCGTCGCAATCTGGCAACGGTATAGAGAAGGACTCCACGTAACTGTCAGTAGACTGTGGATTCTGTTATACGGGGTTTTATCTTGGCATACTTTTGCTGGCTGTTGAAGAAATTACACTGCCAACAAGGATTACTTCCCACGACCTCACACCTTAACTCAAAATCCGTTATTTTGTGAAATTTACCTTCTGTTTATTGTTTAATTACTACTCTCATTTCCGATGTCGCACAATGACGTAGGATGAGACTTTTGGCATAAATCCAGGCAATTTGTCAGCTTACCGTCTAGCGTGCTGCCCCACCCATATAACTCCTTTATCATAAATCGCCTATGGCGCGATCCACAGTCTACTGACAGTTAAGTGGGGTACTTCTCTATACCGTGGCCCGCAATTGTGGCAGGTGTTCACACTTATTTGACATTAGCCAAATTGCCAAGATAAGGTTCCGTTTGGAAATGGCCGCTCAAATGATGCTACGAGACGGATCAAAGCGCAACGAAATCCCAAACCCACCCGGATGGTGGCTTACAGTTGCACATCCTACTGCCCGTTCGTACAACCCTAGTTTCGAAAAGCATTCCCACTTAAGTATTGTGCATTTATTCGCCGCTCTTAAGACTGAATTAATTTAGTCATACCTCATAAAAATTAGACTGAGTTACTGAGTTCCCGAAAGTACTTATTTCTCGAAAGTACACAGCCAAATATATTTTATGGAATTAAAAAGAAAACCCTTCGTATGTTTGGACGTTTCTGCAATGCTTACAGAATGTGTCGCGTAACTAAGCAGCTGAAAACATTATCACGTCCAAGAAGTCTATTCATAATAATTTGAGGAAAAATATGAAATTTATTTATGGAAAACTTGAACAGATCCTGTGAAGGTTTGAGCCAAGTTACTTAAACAAGATCCCCAAGTTAACGCCTGAGAAAATCAAGAGGCTATAGGTGACTGAAGCCCTCAAGCGACCCGCAACGGTAAATCTAGACCATCCAACAGTTAGGGCAATTTCATCCGTTAATATGGTGGTGAATTATGCCAATATCAAACCTGTTGACGGGAAATTCCATACAACGGAGTCGGCGAAATAATAAAGCACAGAAAAACGTATTTTGCAGAAAAGAAGTATTTTTTCAAACAAAAAAGTAAACATAGAAGGCAAATTTTACTTATCACCCTTAACGGGACATTCAGCGTTTGCACTGCGATGAATTTTTTGACTCTTAACTTTTTTGTTTCCCTGGCCTTATTTGTAGGTTGAAAAATTCGCAGACGTTCGTTAATGCCTTCACTGTTGACGCATCATACCTCCAACACGCCAAACTCGGAAAGATGCCCGATTTTAGGGTTGGTTTCTGTCCCCATTTTTTTAACTAATGGGGTCTCTTTAGAATTGGCACATTCCTTTTGGACGCCGGTTCAGATCCCTCAAAATATGGTTTGTCCTCAGAGCCTACGGTGTCAGTGGCCTTCAGAAGTACATACGAAATGTAAAAACCATTCAAGTTGTTTCATTACACCAAACATATTTAGCACGTCGAGATGGCACATTATTTGGAACGCCTGTTCGTTGAGGACGGCCGGTTTGAGATCGTGGGTGAAGTCACACTCGGGTTGGTCTGTTTTCGCATAAAGGTAACGAATGCTGTACATAAAACTTACTCAAATAAATCTAAGTAGAGTGATTTTACGCATCTCTTTTTTCTAACTGCAGAACGACAATGCGCGTACGCGGACGTTGTATGAAAGGATTGAAGCTGATGGTCGTCTGCATTTGGTGCCGTCATATATCCGGCATCCAGCCGAACTGTTCTTCATCCGAGTTGCCATCTGCTATATGTTCATGGATAAAGAATTGACCCGAACATCATTTAATGTCATTTCTGAGCTGACCAAAGAAATTCTTCAAGCAGATGGGACGCATGCATCATGAGTAGTTGATGCTTTCCCGCCCGGAAGATGGACTGCGTGTAGTCGACATATGTCACCTATATATATTACGCTGTAGAACTCCAAATGAATCTGTTCGAAAACATCAGGAACGTTCTGTTGTGAAGAATTTAAAACCTCCGATCTTTGCGCCCATGTTTTTCTAATTAGCTTTCGGCCAAACGTGATGTACAGAAATGCAAAGTCTTCATTTCTGTATACTGTGCCAATTTATTAACAAAACAACATCCCATAACTCTACAATTATTTGGTTTATTTTTTTCAAGATTCGTCTGATTAACAAAGGAACGACAGTTTTTATTCTATCCAAACCTGTTTAAAGGGCGCCAAGACCAGACGTGTAAGAGAAGTATGTCCGCAAACAACTAGCGTTACTTTTCAAACATTACATTACTTGCGTAGAGACTGTGATACTAGTGATCGGAAGGTTTTGAACGGTTGCGTAAAAAGTCCGCATTAACGCCTGGACCGCTGTCTCAAAAGATAAAAATGTTCACTGAAGAAAATAAGCACACCGACGACGATATACAGTAACACTGAAAAAAACAGATGGCGTCTACCTCCTGTGCACCCGATAAATTGTTTTGAACGCAAATACGGTCAACAATCCCATGCCACTGAGCTTACTGCGACACAGCCCGCTAGAGGTACTTCGCAAAACCAATGACAGCCCGACAGCATGAGGGAGGGGGCAAGGAACACGTGGGCGATTTAATGACCTGCTCCACTGCAAACAAGTTAGAGGAGGCTCCCACTGATGCACGTGATTGGATCTACATCTATTGTTGTGATAAAGGGAGAGCAACCCCCAGGGAGTATCGGAATGCCCGCTAAAAGCTGTCTGCGTCCTGCTTATTGCGCGTTTGATCATTATAGCGATGAAGCTGTGAAGGTGTGCGTAGTGTGTGAGGGTGTGCTCTGCAATCACCAGGCCAAATCCAAAGTTGCAAGGAGGATACGGCATTTACCAGAATGAAGGGTTTGTCGTTTGCAGAACCTAAGTTGTCCTCTCAGGCGGCAGTGACCGCCGGCAAAGCCAGTGCTAGTGTTAACTGCGTTCAGTCATGCCCAAGAGTTCGCGAGAGAGTAGTGGCAGCCGTTTTTGGGGTTTTATGGGCCAAAGTTAAGCAGTTTCCAATCGGTGTGTACTGCATTTGCCGAGAGGTGGTGTCCCAGTGACTTATGTCTCTGGTTTCAGGGGGGGGGGAGAGATGCGCTTAAGTGGCCGTACGGGCAGCTGCGACCCTGTGTGGCGCTGGTGTATCCAAGCTGAAGTCAGTCGAGTGGCTTCAGGTCAGCGCGTCTGGAACAGCTCACTACAAGCGTGAATGACCTTTGAGCACCACCTTCGCGCGGCCAAATCATATTTGTTCATTCGCGTTAGCAGCCGCCGGCCGGTTTCCCCAACTTCCTGCAGCTGCATCAAAGTCGGTAAACAACAGCCGAAATCTCCTGCTTCGGAATCGGGTCTTTTGGCCGCATCACTTGCCGGCGGATTCTTGAGCCCTAGTTGTAACACTCCTTGCTTTCAAATGACATCTTCTAAGCGGGAATACTTTTATGCAAAAAAATGAAGACCATGAGCTTTATAAGACAAGACACACGGGTAGGAGCCCCCGCCCTCTAGGAATCTTGCGATATTCGTCGGAGGAGATTGTAGTTAGTGCCAAAGTTAGTTAGGATTAAAGTTCAGTTTAGGGTTTCGGCTAGTTTTAAATTTAAGGTTAGGACACGGGAATATTTACACTTTCTGGGATTCTGTTCGCGGTCCCGTGTTCTGCCCTTTGTGCATTCCCTTAGCGAAATAAATCATTCAACTGTATGGGCATGGGAAGCGATTAAAACTACACTATTCCGTAGAAGGCGTGCCTGCGAGCACGTGTCGAATGTAGTTTGGTCGACAAAACAAAGATTCTCAATCATAATTCAGGGAAGACGGTTTGAGTTGGACAACCTTTACTGCTTTGGACGTGCATACACAAAGACTCTGTAGGCAGTCGCCACTAGCGCGCTCTCCAGGCAAGTTGTCTTTTTTGTGTCCGCCTTCGAGGTGCTGAGACCCAGCGCCTATGTGCGCCTTTCGTTGTCTCCGCGTTCACCAGCCAATCAGAGGGGGGACAGCGTTGACTGGCCGGGAGCACTCACGAGGCTAGTGACAGGCCTCTCGTGTCCCAGCAGCGTATCGACATGGAGTGTGACGCGGACAGAAAGGCAGCGTGGCAAAGGCGGAGGCCAAGGAGACGCGAACTGCCACACACGGTCGACATAAATGCAACCTCCACAATCAAAGGTCGACATCCCTCGGCACACAAGGTAGCTTTAGTGTACTCCGAGTCGCCATGTTGTAAAGCATGACATAAGTGGCCCCTTCCATTTAGAACACGCTCAGGATCTAAGCTGCTCTGAGACGAGCTCCGACATGCCTGGGAGAGCAGGAGACTGTCAGACAAATTCAGATTTTGATAAAAATCTAACATAAGTTTGTTACCGACATAACAACTTCACCTGTCATCTTGTCCAATGCGTGCTGCCAAATACAGCAGCGTGACCTGCAATTTGCGTAAGGGCGACCCCAGGCCATTGCTGCGACTCGACGCTCGTCGCATAATATTGCGACATATTCAGTTCTCAGGAGGGCTCTTCTCAACTACGCGCATCGGACACCACACTAAGGCTAGATCTTACCTAATTTTCCCCATGGCTGACGAAAAGTATCTGGCGATGATTAAAAGCGTGCCGTCTACACAGGAGAGACAGTTCGGCTTTGTCCCATATCTAAGCCCACCGAAGGCCTCAGGACCTGCCTGTCAAATGCGCCCAACTTTCACCTGGATTGTGTATGATTTTTGCCGATTCTGCCGCAGTATTAGGGGTTGTGTATCTTACAAAAGTAAACCGGTAGTGTGGGATTAATACTGTTGAGAATGAGACTGCCTCCTCGGCCTGACGTTTCGGGTTCTCATTCGAATTCATCATCAGGCACAGAGTGCGCTATTTGCGGACTGCAGTTTTCATGCGACCACACGCCCGCTATAAATAGTAGTTCTCAGATTCATCGGTAGGGCCTGTATTTGATGCTTGCTGATCCGCACAGCAGTCGCTAATTACCGCAATGCTATCGCCATTGTGATAATGACTCGGCAATTTGGCTTGCTGGCACAGGAACTGTCAGACGTCTGAGTCGCTGCCGCATGGCTACTCTGTCCAGACTAAGTTCCGGCGCAAAATATCGGGACGGAAGATCATTGTAGACTGCCTGGGAGCCGGAGAGCCGTGGCTGAAGCAGATCGCGCCTCAGGTGGTTGTCGCCTCTTGTGAGGATTTTGGCCTCGTCAAACTTGAAGTTATGGCTAGGGTCCATCAAATGGGCGGCGAAATGAGAGCTTGCGTCTTTCCTCCCTCCTCCTCACTGCTGCAGCATTTTCAGATATGCGCGTCCGCAGTCATGTCCCGAGTCCTCTGACATAATTGCTCAGTCCATAGCTGCACTAGACCCAGTAAACAACTCCAGGCGTCTCCTGTCTCCATCCGACACAATTTCCGTCCCTCAAGTTTACCTAAACGTCGCTTGAGACTCCGATCATGAAAAGTTGGAGACCAGGAGTCAAACTGTAAGGCAGGCTGTGGAATGTTCGAGAGAAATACCATTTTGGCACAAATCTGTCAGTCAAAGGAGGTGCAAAATAACAGATAGAGATGGATCTAATGCCACTCAGTCTCCAACCGCCAGTAGTACGCAAAACACGTATGTACAGCCGGGGAGCGGGAGGGGGGGGGGCGATGGAGCGGACGGGGTAAAAAAACCTGATGACCGGTGGGGAGAGAGGAGACACAGGGAGAATTTCCGCCAGCCGCAATGGTATGCACAGACGGGGTGAATGGACCTCAGACCAGAAACAAAAGAAGAAAGATAGGGGAAGGATGAATCACAAGGGGGGGAGGAGGTTGACTAAGACTGAGTTAACCCAGGCCCAGTCGCGAATGCAGGTAGGGGATTTCCGGCAGCTTGATGTCCTTCAGTTTTTGCGGTATGTTCAGGTCCTTGACTGCAGATACCGCCCTTGCCGGGGTGGCGGAGAGGGTGTTTTGCTGAGTAAAAAAAGCAGAAGGAGAGCGGTTAGACGTCAGAAAAGTCAGAACTGCAGCCAGCTGTAGAGACTCGACTGAAAGCAGGTAATTTGGTGAGCCAGGGTATGTCATGCCAGAATGTCGACTTTAAAAGCCGCGTCTTTCCAGTCACCTGCAAAAACACTTAAAATGGCTGCTCAGGTCGTGGGCGTGTTTCCAATTCCATTTCGAGGCCCTTTTAAATTCCAACATATTTTCACGCACAAAGGCGTCCTTGTAGACATTTTCTAGGGAATTACCGATTCGGCAAATTTTCTGCTTTGAAATGACACCCTCCAGTTTTTTAAAGAAAAGCTTTTCCGATTCCCAAGTAATTTCAAATTCAACCTGCCATTGGACTCGAGTTTAGGGTTGAAAACATACGAGATGAACACCTTCCATTTAATGAAAGCCATACATTTCGCAATGTATATTGACCACGTTGTGTATTCCACAGATACGACGCTGTTTAAACAGACGTCCTATTGTCTTGAGCATCGAAGAACAACGGGGGAAACTCGTACTACTTAAGCAGGCATTATTTTGGCAAACATCTGGTACCGCCCACTTTCCCCCACTCATCTTCAAGGTTGGAAAATCGATCGCAGCCTCGAGCGCACAAGGTCCACTCCTCCAAATCGGTTCGCCTGACGAAAAGGACGCTAGAAGTTCAAACATTCCCCAATAAAAGCGAAAAGACGAGTCCCAGGAAGCAGTCTTGAAGAAGAAGACACGATCGCCGGGACAAGAGCTTTATTAGCCTGACGTTTCGGATTCCTCCTCGAATCCATCATCAGAGACATAAGCA